ACATTGTTTTTAAAAAGAACCATGTATAAAAGATGGTTTTGGATCCTTTTTACACGGTTGTAGTGGAATCGTTGCTATAGTTATGGTTTTATACACTGTTTTGGAAGAAAAATCATGTAGAAAGGATAGTCGGCAATTGTAAACGATTGCATCTTTAAAAGCGTGTATGTAAGTCTCCTTTTGTATGTGATCAACAGCTCGCTCGCACGTACATACATACATAATATCAATTCGTAGGGCATATACCAAATTTGATCAACTGAGCATTCATGATCATATGATTAAAATATTCAGAAGGATTACTTTTTGGATCTATCAGTGAAATTTTACATATTGATCAGCTACTAGTATACTACTATACATTAATTTATATTAACTTTTTGATTGCTAAAAACTTTTAACTTGCATGCATTTATATATTATACAAGTCTAAGTTTTTTTTTTTTATTAACCTGAATATCCAACTCGTTATGCGAGCCGACTAATACCAGGACGACCACCTGCTTTGCAGATAGCCCGAAGTCACCGCATTTGAACCTCCATGGCCTCAAGGGAATTTTTCAGTATTTACCTTTAGGTCATCTGTCCAAATTTTGATTTAACAGATATTAGTTTGATAGTTCATTGTTTAGAACTGTTTTTTTGAATATTTGTCTTATTCAGGATGTGAATGCGTATAACGGATTGGTTATTATAAGAAAATTTCGATAGACGTTTCCCTTTACTCCTACGATATGTTTTTTAATTGTATGCATATTTGGGGAGTTAAGGGTAATTGTTGTCGAATTTTTCTTAAGTAATCAATCTGTGTAATCTGTATTCACATATGAGAAAAAAATATTCAAAAAGTGGGTCGTGATGGCCACGTGCGACCTTTTGATATCTACTCATGTCATGCATGCATTTATAATTAAAATTTATTTCGACATTATAGATAGATCATAGTGATTGGACGTACCAAATACCACGAGCTATAAAGGATTATTTGGCCAGTCTTGATCAGTTTATGGAGGTTCCTGAGAATAATCGGTTGAACGATGGAGAAAGTGAAATTTGGCGTCCTTGTCGGGATTATAGAAACTTTTCTAAATATAGTGATCATAATTTAATTAAAGAAACCACAAGGGTGGTGCCTGATTGGTTTGAGCTTGGCTCCAAAGGTCAAAAGTACCGGGAGGTCCCAAGTTCAAATCCAAGGAGGAATGAAAATCCCCTTGTGGCCACGGAGGTTCAAATGCGGTGACTCTAAGCTATCTGCAAAACAGGTGGTCGCCCTGAGATTAATCGGCTCACATAGCGGGTTGGATATCCCAGGTTAATAAAAAAAATTAATTAAAGAACATCTTATTGTACGTGAGTTTATGAAACAATATACATGTTGGATTCGACACGGAGAGGATTTTGATAATTGTAATTACATGGTTAATCGTGATCGTAGTGAGACAAATGATGACTATGAATCTTACAATGATAGTCGTGATAATTTAGATGAAATGTTACGTGACGTGGAGAATAATATTCCCGATAAGGATTACAACAAATTTGAATAATTGTTTATCGACTCGAAAAACCGTTGTATGTTGGTTGTTCAAAGCTTACCAAACTTTCAGCTGTGTTGAAACTGTTTGACTTAAAAGCAAGCAACGATTGGAGTGATAAAATTTTCACATGTTTGCTGGAGATTTCGAATGAAATGCTTCCAGAAGATAATGAGTTACCTATTTCATTATACAAAGCGGAAAAACTAATGTGTCTAATGGGATTGGAAATAGAGAGAGCACATGCATGCCCGAATGATTGTATGTTGGAGAGGAATGCAGATGTTGATCTACAAGAGTGTCGTATTTGTGGTACATCAAGGTTTAGCAAAGAATCTAACGGAAGACAATAGTGATGTGAAACAAAAGGATGGCCCTCCCGCTAGCTAAAATATTGTGGTATTTATCCACCCTACCAAGATTGAATGATTATTTACAAACACCGAAGATGCAAAGTTGTTGCATTGGCACGCTGAAAATGAGAAAATTAGACACGTGGCGAATTCTCCTCAATGGAGGAATATCGACATCATATTTGAAGATTTTGGTGATGAAATTAGGAATATTTGGTTTGGTCTTAGCTCTGAAGGATTTAATCCATTTGAATTCATGAGCAATCGTCACAGTACATCGTCGGTTCTTCTATGCATTTACAATATTCTATCATGATTATGCATGAAACGTAAATACATCATAATGTCATTGCTAATTCAGGGTTTCAAACAACCGAGGAATGACATTGATGTGTATTTAACTCCATTAATTGAAGACTAGAAAGAATTGTGAAGTCCAAGCATCGAAGTGATGCATACGGGAAGAAACGTTTCCAGCTACGAGTCATGATTTTTTGCACTATAAATGATTTTGGTTCATGTACATTACGTGAAGATGACACCCATTTTTTGAGGTTGAGAAATTGTGGGAAACATGCGTGTATGGGCCATTAAAGTAAAGGTCTCTTTCGAAGAGCCACCAATACTTCAAACTAAAGTCATTCTTTCACCAGTAACGTATATTTTGAAAACTCAAATAATTCAAGAATACGACACATTTCTCGAGGCGAACGCGAATTTTCAAACTTGAACCAAGACATATATTGTAATTACCCTTTTTCTGCCATCCTAAAAAAATACCATATGAAAGTAAACATTTTATTTTAAAGTTGCTTATTCGCAGTAGGTCAATAACAAATGTCTTACAAAATGCGTGCGACCATCTACATGCTCTAAGGGGCCGTTTATCTAAATGTTTACCTAGTAAGCACTTACCGTTAAGAGTCAACCCTATAATTTATATTATCAGGTAAGATTGTAGTACATCAAAATGTATCTTATGCAACAATTAATTACATGTTAAGCGTTTACCTGAGTAAGAATCGTCACTCTCACTTATCGGGTAAGACTCTCCATTCTTATCATTGCTCTTACCAGGTAAGATTTTTGCCCATTGTCATGTTCATCCGGTAAGAAAAATTGTCCAGCAAGTACTTACCGGATAAACGTTTAGTAAACGACTCCTAAGTTTAAATGCATATTGTACATTCATTCCATGAGGTTTATATATATCCTACAATTGTATATCTCATGTTCAAATACAAGCCAAAACTATAATAAAGTTCCATTTTTTCGTTTAACATATTATAGCTTCACGCATCATCGTTTAATAATCATCATGATACCAGTTCGGTATCGATACTTGTTAAGGGGTGGTTTACCAACATAAATTGGGTAAACATTTATATGTAAGAGTCACTATTATCACTTAACTTACCAGATAAGATTATTGGTCGTCAAAATATCATATAAACATCTCTTTCCCCATAAGCATTAACCTTATAAAAGTCACCACCCTCATTTACCGAGTAAAATTGTTGGTTTGCAAAATGTCATATGATAAAATTGTGTGTAAAGAGCATCATCGCTGACCAAGTAAACGTCTTTTACTTGATAAGAGACAATAAATATACAGTTACCTGATCAAAGATTACAAGTGTTTAGTAAATAGCTTCATTTCCTTTCTTTATTTTGTAACTATAACTAATTTTTATTTTATCTTATATTATGATAATTATTTTGTTTCCTATTGAATAAAAAATCATGGACCCACCTCTAGAAGTTCATTTAATTCACCAATTTTTTTTATTAACCTGAATATCCAACTCGCTATGCGAGTCGACTAATCACATGATGAACATCTGCTTCGCGGGTAGCCCAGAGTTACCGCATTTGAACCTCCGTGACCACAATAAATTTTTTATTCCTCCTCGGATTCAATCTTTTTTTACTTCGAACTAGTTCTAATTCTATAATATTATATAGATTTCAACCTTAGTTTTCCTTTTTTTCAACTTTCTTCTACCATCTCTGTTGTTAGTATTTGTGTGTATGTGTTTTCTCTTAGATATCAAAATTCAGCAAAAATGGAATGGATTAATTGGAGGGTAAATTAAATATAAAGATATAAGTGTTATTTAAATGACATAAACAAGGCATGGAACACCTCACAAATCCTTTTAAACCTTTTCTCATGAAACCATCACAAAGCTTGCCACCTTATTATTAATAAAGGGAATCTCATCAAATATGAGGTTTGCACATAACCATGACATTTTATGAATTTGAAAAAAATTAATGTATATTTTAATAAATAAGTTTTGGTGTAAATTTAAATATGCAATTTGATCTGATTTTGATATAAAAGTCAGTGCATGTAGCAATATCTTCACCAATTCATAATATATATTTTAATATTTGTATACATATATCTAATCGACTTAACTAAGGGTTGAGTTCAGGTGAAAAAACAAGTTATAGTGAGAAGCGTAAGGATCTTCATCTATGGATCGATCCTAATTGAGCGTCAACATTAATGAGGTGCACCAGATCAATTCTCTTCTAAGCACAATTCATGCACGGACATGAAATTAAAACTGATCAACGATTCATATCTCTTCTTACGTTTTCATTATAACTTCTCTTGTTAAACCCAAGTTATATATTTATTTTTTAGTTAGATATTTTTAAACTGAATTGAATTGAAAAACCAAAAATGTAAGCAAACCATTATTTATTAAAAGATTAATTAAATTATAACATGATAACTAAATAAAAAATATAAGATTAAAAGGGAACTTCAAAATCTTAAATTTAAACATAGCAACTAGGGTTGTTTGGGATTGCTTATTTGAAATAATTTATATTTTTCTATAAAAGTATTTATCAAATTATTATAAGTCAGAGGAGTATAATTTTTTTAAAAACTTTTTATTACCAATTTGATACTATTATAAATTATTTATCCAAACTATCAAAAATATTTATTATCAATGTCAAATCGAAATAGATCAGATGTTTTTATAGGTAAGTAACGCCCCTAAACAAAATTAAAAAGGCATATATATATATATAGGAGTGAATAGAACTGGACCAATCTGAGGTCTTTACTGTCTCACACCACACAACCATGGCAGCTCTCCCTCTCCTCCTCCCTCATTCCCTCCACCACCGCCGGCAACTTCCTAACCACCGTAATGTTTTTCCTACTCTTTCATCGCCGCAACTCCTCCGTCTTCATCCAACTCTAACCTGCAAGAAACGGAGTTTCACCACTACAGGCGCAGGTTACATAACAGGTCCGGCCTCTGATGCAATCATCGCCGCCGATGATCCGAAGATAGAGGAAGTTGATACTGGTCCGGAACCGGTACAACGTTTTAATGCCATAAGCTTGGGGCTATTATTGAGGCTTCTATCCCGCCATAAACTGAGAGTTGCTGCTTCGATCGTTAGTCTCGTATGCTGCACCACTTGTACTCTTTCAATGCCTATATTATCCGGTAAATGAGATTTCAACTTAATTACTTATTTTCAGTTGTCACGTTCTTCCCATTGAGTTTTCCACCCTTAAAGATAAACTTAGTTCGTTAATTATTGGCACTGAATGTATTCCTCTGTTCCACAAATCCATTTCAAATGACGAAGCTTTACTTCACCTCATGATATTGAAGCTGATTTTGCTCCAATTTTGGGATCACTTTCGAACGAGTGGAATTGAATGATGCCTAGGGTATTGGAAAAAGTGCTCAAATGACCATTTGTTTGGTCTAATTAACGTAATAAATGCTCTATCCATGATCTAAAATAATTACATTGGGTACTCTTAATGACCATTTGTTGAGGTACTTGTAGGGAGGTTCTTCGAGGTGCTAATAGGTGCAAGATCGGAGCCTTTATGGCAGCTTCTCAGCAAGGTCGGAGTTCTATATACCCTGGAGCCAATCTTCACAGTTATTTTTGTTGTAAATATGAACACCATATGGGAGAAGGTTATGTCAAGCTTAAGAGCTCAAATATTTGGCAGCGTATTGATTCACAAGGTAATATCATTCGTTTATATCTTACTGTTGTATTTTACTTGCACTTTTAGGCCATCCATAGTAGTTTGTACTTGGACCTGATTGCTCTTGTAGTTTAATAAGATGATGCAAAACATGGTGATTGCTTTATATCCATATTTAGTTACACATTTTATTGAAATCAAGGATAGGCTAGTGCGAGGCTTTTGCCTGGGTCGGACAATTGAAGGATCCGAGTCATCCAACTTATTTTTCCTTACCTAACACCAAAGGGGATGTCCCCGGAGTTTCAACCCATGATGCAAAGGTTCTTGTTGATATATGTTCTTTTGTGCCACATTGCACCCTTGGCCCAACATTCCACAAGTGCACTTATGTGCTTGGTTATTTTTGGAGGTTAGGCTGGGTCGGGGACCTTGCAGCACACAGATCCTGCCTATCATACACAAACGGTTAATAATTTTCATATATAAGCATGCTTGTTTTTAACGAGCTTATGGGGTTTATCAAGTCAAGGTCAATACTTATTATTGAACAGCCAGGTCAATGCTAAGAATTTGCAACAATCCATTGGGGCCAAAACAATATGTGCATTGATGATACATGAAAGCCTATCATTGGTTTTGATCAACAAAACTCCATATTCCTAACTTTTTAATAATAACGTAACTACTAACTACTACGTTTACCTGTTTTATTAAGTCTATATACAACACTTTTCATTAAGGCTTGCTGTTCCAGTACACAAATTGTGACATCTTACCATTTCTGTCCCTCACAAAGGGTGTTTTCTGGCTAACTAGTCACATCCTCATCTACAAGCGTAGCTTTAAGCCTTTAATCTTGAAACCTCTAGTTGCATCTAAATTCTTTATCATAGAGATATCTCTTGCCAAGGTTTAATACTTTTATCTATTTCTGCAGGTGGAATTTTTTGACAAATATAAGGTATGCAAACACATCTTACATTGTACTCCCATATTATGAAATACAAGCTGATGAATTTATTTGTCCCCATAAATTATTATTTAATTTTGTTTGTGATTTCTTCAAGCATACGGGATGTGACAAACTCCCTACTTAACTTCTTGGTTTCCTCATTAGGACTACACAAAAGCACTCGAACAAATTCCTAGAATCATTAACCTCATGAAATGATTGAGTTCAACTAACTACATGTAATTACCTCAAAAACTCTAATTCAAACTATAGAAAATAAGGCTTTATATAATAGCCTTTACAAACTGAAAAGTAGAAGATGAAAGACAGAAGAAGAAGGAAGTTCTACAGACCAGGACTTTATTAGCATAATAAAGAAAGACTTATTAAGACAATATGGCTAACTGACCCAACACTACACGTCATGAAGCTACCTCTCTGACATCATTATTAGCTTCCTAAGCCCAAAGAAATAACTGAAACCATGGTGACAAGTTATTAGTAGCTGATTACTAGAGACTTATAAGGAGACTTACTATTCATTTCACAACCGATATGGGATGGAATGTCACAAGGTCCCTCTTCTGTAAACGTAACATACGCTTTCTACTCACAACACAATTGGACCATGGTCATCAAGTTTTGACTTTGCATTCACATTTATATCATCTCTCTTTTTTTACTTGCTGTATCATTTTCATCACTATTAGGTCTATACAATATGATTTTAAATAAACTGGCTGTGTTTTTTTATGCAAATGGCAATCACGACTACTAACTCAGCATTTGTCTTCTGCTCCTGATAGGTTGGCGAACTCACTGCTTTGTTGACATCTGATTTGGGTTCGTTTAAAAACATTGTGAGTGAGAACATTTCAAGGGATCGTGGTTTCAGGGCACTAACTGAGGCAAGCTACTCTACACTAAGCAAAAGTGAGCTTATGCTTATTTCTATTCTTCTTTCTCAATGAGAAAAGTGAGACTTATAATAAAAGAAAACAAGCTTTAATAAACAAGTACTGCCTTCTTTGATGTGCTTTTTAATTACTTGCTTCCAAACTTTGTGGTAATCTTCCTTGTTTTGATCATTGCATTTGCTTTTGTTAAAATGAGTTGATAAAGGTTTGAGAAGTTAAAGGAACACATATATGATACTCCTTAAAGGGTGACATGTGCACCAAAACTCCTTGGTTTGTGAGGGTTGGGAAGTGAAGGAACAAATGCAAAGAGTTTGTCACCATGACTTGAACTGAAGTCATATAGGAGTAACCTTACGCATCGTTCCAAGGATTACCCCTACAATAAGCACTCTTAGAATAAGAAAAACAGTTTAAGTTTGACTTCCATTAGTAAATTGCACCACTTTTCACCCATTAAATTAATGAAAATATTTATTTATTCATGAAAAACAATTCATAACTTCATACGACCTGGTGGCATTTGCAAAAAATTTGGTGCTAAAACGGTTAAACAATTCATATTAATTTTGTATATCCATGTTGTATATTGTATGATATATTTGTAATACAATCTTAATAAGATGTCCTTCTAACTTTCTACGACTTTTGTCTTCTTTGCAGGTTATTGGGACAATGTGCTTGCTGTTTGTGCTTGCCCCCCAACTTGCACCAATTCTGGGTGTACTTATGCTTGCAGTATCTAGTTTAGTGGGTAAGCATTAGTTGCTTCTTTACCTTAACTTTCGTTAATAATTCGAGGCCTTTTTTCTTCATGATGGAAATGTGATGAAGGCATATTATTCCCTCAGTCCCCATGAATATTACTGCTATATTTGACTGGGATCATATTTTATAAAAGTTTTAACCATAGTAAAATGTCCAAAATGCCCTTCAATATGAAAATAAAGAAATCTCTTGGACCAAAAATGAAAGCATCAAAGATGATGAACAACAAAAAGGTAATGAAGCATGGCATTTAATCAGAAACGGGAACTTTACAATTTCATGGGATACCCCAAACAAAAAATTGTTGCAATTTTCATGGGACGGAGGGTGCTAGTGTTTTTGCGTTATCTTGTTTCCATACCAACATTCTTGGAATTGTGAAATTCCACTGAATCAATCATCAAGGCACTTCATTTATATATTGAGGTCTTAAGTTTATGCTGTGTTGTGTTACATTCTATTATGCAAACACCGTCTTTTTGGTGTTACACCTTGTAGATTAACAGGTGCTATTTTTCTTTTTTGAGTGGCCATCAAATGCTTGTTGAGGATTCCATGCAATTTCCAGCTGTCTTCATTTTCTACTTGCTACTGACCGCTATATATGTGTATCTCAGCTGTATACAAGAGATCAACTGTGAAGGTGTTCAAAGCCTATGGGTCGACCCAAGCTTCAATAGCTGATTGTGTAACTGAAACTTTTTCTGCAATCCGTACGGTGAGTTTTTAATTTATTTCTGAACTCTTGGTCTTTGTATCTTTCTGACTTCGTGGATGGATGGTGGAGTGCGCCCACAATTTTGATTTAACAAGTTTGCTAAAGTTGTGATAAAAGAACCTAGAAGGTAAAGTTCTTACTGCAATGGATGATATTTATTGATGCATGCAGGTAAGATCATTTGGTGGAGAAAAACGTCAAATGTTAACATTTGGTAACCAGGTTAGATAATTCGTATCCGTGGATGTCCAGATCGGCCCATTATATCTGCAACCATCTGATGTCTAGTTTATTGTTTTGAGTAGGTTCTTGCTTATCAGAGCAGTGGGATCAAGCTTGGATTTTTTAAGTCTATCAATGAATCAATAACTAGAGTTGCAGTATATGTATCTTTGCTGGCCTTGTATATTCTTGGAGGAAGCAAAGTTCAGGCGGTAAGCAGTGCATCTCTTTCTGTGTATATCTTATCTGACTACTGTGGTGCAAGATAGCATCTTTCTGAAATCTCGTGATGATGACATGATACTCCTTGGCAGTTGACGTCATGAGTGATTCAGATCTGATTGTCCATCCTTGTTAATGATTTGCTTTGACATTTTCATTGCTTAAGGTCACACAAATATTGTCTGTCAAATAAATTCTTCCTTACCAGGGTGAGCTCTCTGTGGGAACTGTTGCTTCTTTTATCGGATACACTTTCACTTTAACATTCGCTGTGAGTACTTTTATTTGGTTTCTTTCCTTTGGCCAGTTTATTCTTTCATTGCCAGCTGATAGTACATGTCTATTAGGTTCAAGGACTGGTTAACACAGTAGGGGATCTGAGGGGAGCTTTTGCTGCTACAGAGAGAATTAACTCCGTCTTATCTGAGTCAGAAGTTGATCAAGCGCTAGCTCATGGTTTAGAAAAAGACATCAGGCAAGAAGTAGGGATGGATGATAGCTTAAAAATGTTTTTCATCAGTGACCCCAATGATAAAAGGCGATCTCAGAACATGAGGTACATGTCATCTTTAACAGCAGCCAGCAGTGTTCGTAGTCTTGCACAATCTGGTGATATATGTCTTGAAGGTATCTACATAATGGTCTCATTTCAGATGTTAAACTTTGAAACTAAGATCCTACGTGCTTCTTCTACAGCTAGTTATCTTAGATGTTCCGCTGCATGTTTTCTCATTTCCCTACTTGCTTTGAAATGCAGCATTAGATACCATGAGTTCTTTGCAGGCTACGTGGAGGTTCTTTTCAGTATGAAAACACTCTAATCCACTTTCTTTCTTTACAATTAAACTGTTCTGTTGATGTGGATTGTAAACTCGATGAGGGAATCATTCTTGAATATCTTGTAGTATTTGTTGTTCTTGTCCTGCAGCCCAATCAAAAGGGTGCCACTAGCTAAGTCCAAGTCTTAAAAGTTTGTATAAGCAAGAAGAGTTTCAGTCCTGTGTTTTATTGCTAGCAACTTACTCTTCCGTTGTTCTTCAGGCGTGCACTTCTCGTATCCCTTGAGGTCTGATGTAGAGGTCCTTAGTGGTCTTGATTTGACACTAAAATATGGAAGTGTTACTGCTCTGGTGGGCTCAAGTGGAGCTGGAAAGAGTACCATTGTACAGCTTTTGGCACGGTTTTATGAGGCAAGTATCTATGAATTATTTTTACTACCATTGGTGAAGATTGATCTCTATAGATTAGTCACCAAGTCTCCTATTTTTGCAGCCTACACAAGGTAGGATAACAGTTGCAGGAGAGGATTTGAGAACATTTGATAAAAGTGAATGGGCCCGGGTAGTCTCCATAGTCAATCAAGTATGCTCTTCAACTTCTAAATATCAAATTACACACATTATTGTCAATTTTTGCATATTCAACCAAGGCAAGGTTCAATAGACTAGCAAGGCTGCAATAACTCCTGAACGAGATTTTGCATATGTGACCAACACACAAGCATGTACATGTTATGTTAATTCTGACCACAAAGGTCTTAATAGATAATGCTACTCAAAACTTGGCTTGTTAGTTCACGGTTCATACTCATTTAACCAAATATATCTTTGATATTCTGATGTGCAAAGACAAATTTTGGCAGGAACCTGTTCTTTTCTCCGTCTCTGTGGGAGAAAACATTGCATATGGGCTCCCGGATGAAAATGTATCAAGGGATGATGTTATAGCGGCAGCCAAAGCTGCCAATGCTCATGATTTTATAGTATCACTCCCAGAGGTTTGTCCTCTGAGATATTCACCTAGCATTTCATGCTATGATCTTTTTCCTGATGTTTGTATCATCTTATTTAATGGAAGGGTTATGATACACTTGTTGGTGAAAGAGGAGGTTTGCTAAGTGGGGGTCAAAGGCAGGTAAATTTTATATATGAATATGTGAGTATGAATGTGCACAACGTACAAATCTACCTGTGCTGAACCTTTACACCAACTTGCAGAGAGTTGCTATTGCTAGAGCCCTGCTCAAGAATGCTCCTATCTTGATACTCGACGAGGTATGCTGTCAGTGTTCAACTAGATAGAGTTCCTTATCTGTCATACAATCTATCTAGGTTGGAATGAATGGCAGTGATTGTGTGGTATGAAGAAAGAATATTTGTCACAATAGGTTATTTCCTAAATTGCTCAGTGACGTATTTATACAACCATCTTATGCGTCAAGGCTAGTTGTTTGGCTGAAGAACTAGCTAAAGAACTAATCACATTTGGCAAAAACTAGCTCATAGTATCATTAATAAAATAGTAATCCAATGCCATTAAAAAACATTAATAACCCCTTAGTTCACAAGAGAATGTTGGAATGAAACAAGTGACCTCATGTTCATGTTGGTTTTCATTTCAGGCCACCAGTGCTTTAGATACAGTCAGCGAGCGCTTAGTCCAGGATGCTCTTAACCATCTAATGAAGGGAAGGACAACATTGGTGATTGCTCACAGATTGAGTACAGTTCAAAATGCAGATCAAATTGCTCTGTGTTCCGAGGGGAAAATTGCAGAGCTGGGCTCTCACTCCGAGTTATTGGCAAGGAAGGGCCAATACGCCTCTCTTGTTGGCACACAAAGGCTTGCATTCGAGTGAGAAACAGTAGCAGGCTATCTTTACTTGGTGTAAACCATGTATAACACATTGTAAGTGTGAGTTGTGAAGCTTTTTGGTATTATATTTTGTTAATTTTAGGTCGCAGCATAGGCAGTAGAAAAGAAAAGAAGTAGGAAGCCAATGTTTGCAGTACGTTTGACATAATTTCCTTCATGCAGCTACTTGCTTTCCCACGGTTCAAGATTCCAAGAGGTTTGGGGATATGCTGATAGAGAACATGCAAAGCTTCAATAGTGAAGGATAATAACAAAAATACAAATGTCAACTGTAAGTACTAGCTTGCGTGATATTGTACATCAACAGATGCTATGACAACATTGAATAGTTGTGCCATGAAGAAGCATAATTTGAAAATATTGATATTGAACTTTATGTTGTTTTAGCTTTTAGGAATGCTGACAATAAATACAATCAGTCCAGGTGCTTATATTTGTAATCTGTATAGATGCAGAAATGAAGAAAGAAAAGTGTATATGGTAAGACTGTTAAATAAACGAAACCTATAATGAATTCCTAAACGAATATAATCCTTATGGTTTCTTAATCCTTGGAGAAGGTGATTGTAGCATTTAAGATAGCAAGACATTCGGTTGGAAGATCGAGGAAAGAATTCATTAGGAAATCATCAATCTGCTCAACAGTTGCCACCCCAACTAGCCTGCACTTCCCTTGTTCATCCAGTCTCTTTCCATTTCCACTCCTTAGAGTCCCTTTTGATTCCTCTGATGTTAATAGTGTCTCCACCAACAATGGTGGAGCTTTGTATATACTCCCCACTGAAAACCAGAATTTGGCCTTGAACTTAAGATCAACCTACATTAACAGCAACACTCTAGTTCTAGTTATAGTTCTAGAAATGAAACAAATTAACAAAAGGTCATCGAATTCATGCCTACTCCAAACACAAAGCTACAGAAAAACATCAAATCTAACATCTAGAAGTATACTGCAACTGTTCATCCTTCCTAGGATAACAATGGATCAGTTGTCAGCATGCATCTTTAGGAACAGGGTGAGTTATCACTACAACAGAATCGGTTTTACAGGACGCCAAAATGTCAATGTTGTAATAAACTGTTTTATAGGACTAAATGATTATGTGCCCTATGCAAAAGTGTTCAATAGGATGTTAGAACGAATTTTGGGCATCCTAACAAGTTTTTAACGACACTTAAAATAAAATGTTGTATTAGTTTTTCTATAGGATGCTTGAAAAATGTCTTATGAATACATTTTTTATAGGATACTCGTTTTTACAAAACACTTTTTCAAATAATGTCACAAAAAGACTAAATAGGACATATTATTTCAAATCGTCTTAAAAAACTTGTTGGACGTCCAAAAACATCCTATCAACTTATAATAACACATTTACATAAGACATACAATTGTTTGGTTCTGTAAAACAATTAGTTTAGACATTTTGGCTTCATATGAAGCCGATCTTGTTGAGAGTTTTCATCTTCTTGTTTCAATGTGAAAAGTAGGAATTAATGGAACAGTTATGGAACAGATGAAACTGTACCTTGCCAGATTCTAGGTTGATGATCCCTCTAAAGATCTCCGGAACAATCTCAATTTTGAGGAAAGGTGGCAGTGGCAAGCCCAGGAACTTGGTTGTTGCAGTGGTCAATGAGGGGATATAAAGGGTATTTACGTCAAAGTCAACCGAGGTTTCACCATTAAAGTCTACCCCTGTCATCTTTTTCCCCATGCCACTACCCTTTCCCCCATGAGCATTATATTCGAAATCCGGATATCTGGCTATACCAAGCTTGCAAGCTTCTAAAGTCTTGAATCTAACATTATATACATCTGGACTTACTAAAGTTGACATGGAAATGGATGGTTGTTGATCTTGGCTGTTGTGTGCCATGGTTGTAGCTTGGAGCTTTGGTAGAATATGAGAAAATGGTGGTTTGGTTATGGGGATTCTGAATAGGATTTGAGGATGTGATGACTGAATTTGGAACCCCATTTGGAGGGTAGATTTGAATGTTGAAATTATGAATGGAATGCCAAGAGAAAAGTGCTTCTAATATTTTGGGAAATTGATGTGGGAAATTTTGTGGTTGTGATGCTTCCATCAACCCCATCTTTTTTCAGCCTGCCAAATGAACCTTATCTCCAATATAGTTTTAGAAATTTAAACATTGAATTAGAATCCAAATTTCAACTTCAATTTGCTTTGCTTAGGGGTGATTTCGCAGTTGCTGAATGGTTTGGTGCAGAATAATTAAGTGGTCAGAATGATTAAAAGACTCTTATGATATAGTGTAAAATAAAATATAATTGTTTACAATGAAATTAGGACGCTGAATGGTTAAGGGAGGACCAATATACAAAATCATTCAGGGGGTTTCTAGAACCATTAAGAGGATGACTTTTATTTTGCCAAACAAGATTCACATCTTAACGATTCATAAGCTGTCTCTTAAGGGTGCGTTTAGTATGCAGACTACATGGGACATGACGAGACAAAAAAAATAGTTTCATGTTTGGCATGCCATGGACAAAAAAAACATGGGACAAAGTGGGACTATTTTTAATTTTAGCGGGACAAATCTTGATATTTCTTGTTCCACCAAAAAAGGTGGAACAACATGGGACTAAAGTTAAAATGACAATATTTTGATTGATTTGTTGTCATTTTACAATCATTATATGATATAAAATAACATTGAACAACATTTAGGGGTAATATGGTCATTTTAATAGTTTTGTCCCGTCCTGTCCTAGTCGTAACAACATAGGACAGACAATTAGTCTTTTCCCGTCCCTTCCCGTCCCGTATGTGTACTAAACACTACTTAATGGAACTATTAAAAAGTAAAATCCCTAAATTTTCAACATTTAAATTGTTATTTTAATATCTTATTGGGCATTTATTTAATTAAAATAAAAATGCTCCTTGGTCCAACAACCAATCACAGCCTGGTTGGACGCTCAAGAGTCCAGCCAGAGGCATTCATCTTTGGACTGGGTTGGTCCATCTTGACACGTTCACAACTGAGTAAACAATATTCTTAATTTTTTTATTAACTTGAATATCCAACCCGTTATGCGAGTCGACTAATACCAGGACGACCACCTATTTTGTAGATAGTCCGGAGTCACCGCATTTGAACCTTCGTGGCCACAAGGGCATTTTTATTCTTCCTTGGATTTGAACCTAAGACCTCCTGGTACTTTTAATCTTTAGAGTCAAGCTCAAACCAATCAGGTAACACTCTTGTGGTTAATTTTTTTAGTAGGATTAGAATTGGTTTATAGTTTTGGATTGGTTTTATTAGAATCAGTGTATTGTTTTTTTAATTAATTAATATTTTCTTAGTATAAATAGTTTTGTAATCTTAATGTTTTGGACACCTTTTCAATTAATAAATTTTAGCGATTCTTAAGTTTCTCAACTTTGGGTTTTATCCTATTTTCGTTATGCATGACTTGGTATCAGAGCTCTGCTTAGTATCCTGATGGCTAACAATGGGGAAAAAATATCAAGACAACGGTGGTGAACATAGTCTTGAAAACATGTAGAAGGTTGTGGAAGAAATCGCCAATGGATTCACTCGACTCAACATAAACATAGAAGAGCTACATACCACGATCGTAGCCGGTGGATTGTGCCACGAAAATAGTGAAGATGTTCCCCGTGGTCAAACCAACGCCAAGACAACAAGGGCGGTCATGGGTTAGGCCCGGAACGTCACTGTAATTCGGTAAATAACGGGAGATCATATCAATTATCTTTTTCGATGAAGAAGCATAAGAAGATTTTGAAGAAAGACCATACCAAAGAAGACCAAACCGAGTTCATGAAGGCTACCACGTCAAACAAAGTTATACGGAAACCTCGATCTCAAGGCGGTGCTAGATTGGCTTTATGAAGTCGATAAATTTTTCGAGATAATGGACATACCTGATCAACAACGCATGAAGATTGTCGCATACAAACTTCGCGGCAGAGCCGACACTTGGTGGAAAAGTATGCAAGACCAACGCCAATGGACGGGAAGGCATCCCATAACGGAGTGGCGACGGATGAAAGAGTTAATAAATGGACGATTTTATCACCCGATTTCGAGCAAATTCTTTATTAGCAGTTTCATAACTGTATCCAAGGAAATCATTCCGTCACTGAGTACATTGGAGAATTAATAAGACTACAAGCAAGATGTCGCCTTTCCGAAATGGAAGAGCAAACGGCGGCCCGATATATTAACGGTTTGAAATTTACTATTCAATACTGATGGAGTCTTCAACCTATTTAGTCCATTGATCAAGCCCAAAGCATAGCTATGAAAGTCGAGAGCCTTCAATCCCTAGCCATGTATAACCCTCGACAACCTCTTAACGATCTTAGTTCAAGTGAAAATCAAGGCCACCGATCAAGTCCGGTTCAAATTACCACCCAAAACAAACCCGTTTCCACTCAATGCATCCCCAAAATATCCAACCGAAACTTCGGAGCAAGTTCTAGCAATGTCGGTCAAACTCCCAACAAACCATACACCAAGCCCGGAGGAAACAAGTGCTACTGATGCGGGGAACCGGGTCAACTATCAAATGAATGCCCAAAATGACGGCAAGCGTTTGTGACTGATTATGAAGATGAAAAGATCGTCCTGGAATAAGGAGCGAAAGAGTATCCCGAAGTTGATGGCAAATCGGTAACTTATGTGATACAAAAGATTTTACGATCACCTAAAGTTCGTGAAAACTCCCAGCGAAACAAGAATTTTTAAGCCAAATGCTCTTGTAGGGAGGCCATGGCAATATGATGTGGATGCTACTCATACGGCTACGCGGAATATGTACCTCTTTTCTTGGCTCGGAAAGAAAATAGCTATCTTACTTACCGGTTCAACCATAGCGGTCAAGACAGAAAGAAATGCTCTCAATACCGCACTCAAGTTGGTCGAAGACGTGCACAAGACGCAAGCCGAGGTCCGAGAAAAGATTGCTCAGGCAAATGTCAAGTGCAAAGCGACGGCCGACCAAGCCCGTTCCTGACATTTTATGGGCCCTGGGAGAGCGATAGAAAATAAGCCCTCCATGTGAACGGAGTTACGGACAAATCTCAGACAAATGTTTTCGTTATCATCAAAAGTAAAATTGCATACAATAAATAAAGATACTTCATGCAAAACAACTCCTTAGGAGTATAAAAAACAATATGTGATAGAAACACTAAAAAACAGAAACCATATACACAGTAGCCAAATTGTTGACAAAACCATCGACCATTTTAGCATTTCAGCCGAACACACAGATCATAAATTCATATACACAATAGCTGATACATATAAACAAAAGTACTACAACATGCTAACAACCCATAATTTAACTTTGCCCTAGAAGAACTTCTAATCAAAACCCTATGTCCACAAATCAACCTTGATTTTGATGGAATAGATGGTTGAGTACCTTAGTTGGCAGTCAAAACTGAAACTCTTTTTGCAATCTTATTGGAATATACAACTGGAACTGGAAATGAATGGAGAGATCTGTTTGATAAACTGACTTAAGAAAGCAAAAAGTGATGTTTTGGAAGGCAACGGATTTCTTAATGTTATGGACTTATTTTTCTAGTAGTTGTAAACGGCCCAGACACAATAGCCATACACACAAATTGACAAAAACATATACAATTTTCTTTTTATTAGAAAAGTTAGATCGATTCGTCAATATCGAATCGAACTCGAAAGATATAAAGAACCATAAATTCAATCAAGTTTGGGGTTGGGTATTTGGGCCAAATTTTATAACACTAAACATTTTATAACGTATAATACATAACTACTTTTTTTGGGGCTCCTATTTTCCATGGGAATTGGGCACAAGCCTAGCCCGCCCTCCCTCATGAACGGGCCTGCGGCCGACAAACACCATTGCGTCAAAACTTTGAAGGTATGAGACGGGGTTATGGTTGATTTGTATAAAGAACGGTTTACTATTGGAACATATGCCTAAGTTTGTCAAAAGAAATATGGTTCGTACAAGGTGACGTAAAAGATAAACGATAATACATATGTCGTTGATCTTCCTAATACGATGACCATTTCTAAAACTCTCAACGTAGCTGACATCTACCAATATCACCCAACGAAAGATTCGACTTATTTCAAGAACTCGTGGACTTGATTTTCTTATTTTGTTTCCTTATATGATTTATATTTTAGTAGGATTAGTAATAAAAAATGTAATTAATAATAATTTCAATTAGCTTTTCTAATAAAATATGAATTTCTTATTCCTTTTTCCCGGTTTAACCTATCATGCTACGTTCTTGAGACCTTTTCCATATAAAAAAAATTAGGAAATATATTTTTAAAAAGTATATTCATTAAAATTAATTAAGCAGCTACACATTTTAATTGAATGACGTCATTAAAATTTTGGTAAAAATATGTGATATATATAGAGGTTGGTTATTACGTAACCTTTGACATTTGTACAACCAATACAACACAATCTCAACCGTCCATTTCATTTGATTAATATGTAATTTCATACAAGTTTTGATTGTTTCCTAATATAAAATATTGATAATAATTAATGAACCATATTCATCTTCCATAAATATTTAAATCATAATAAATAAACTCTTATTATTTCCATAAATATCTCAATTTATTGGGTTGCATTGGTTGTATAAATGCGGCGGTTTGTATTTGAAACAAACTCTATATATATGGGGTATATTTCAAATGCAACCATGTTCATTTTTACAACCAATGCAACCCAATTAATTGAAATATTTATAGAAATGATGGAAGTTCATTTATTATGATTTGAATATTTATGAAAGATGACTAGAGTTAATTAATTATGATCAATACTTTATATTAGAAAACAATCAAAACTTCTATTAAATCACATATTTATCAAATTAAATGGACGGTTGAGATTGAGTTGTACAAATGTAAATGGTTGTATAATAATCCACCTATATATATATATATATATATATATATACACACACACACACACACACTATATTATAAAACATTTGACAAAAACTATTAAAA